AAAAAAAATCTATATTTAACAGGATAAATGTACAGTAACACTAAGTTCAAGTTCAGACCTCTACAAAGAAACCTGTCTCAATAATTTAATAACATGAGATGAACAGAAAGGCTGCTTTCCAAGATCTTCTTTGGCACTTCTGGAACAATCCTTATAGTCCTGGTGAAAAAAAATCTTACGTTTTTAACTAAACACTAAAAGAAATTTTACATTAATTTATTTTAGCCCTGGAAGAACTTGTGGGGCCTATTTTAAAATTATTATTCTCTTTCTATGCATTCCTTGATCTAGAGTCTGGATTCTAAAATATAGTCAACTGATACACTGAAGAGGTGTGCATATAAATGTCCTCATGTCACACTCTTGATATCCTATATGAAAAAATTATGTGCTTACGCAAAAGAGTAGAAAAAAATTGCCTCTTATTTGACATCTTGCTGTACTTTGTATTATTTTTACTAACAATATAAGTGCCAGCCTATTAAAAACATACTACTATTACACCACTCTTAATGAGATATAATTATTATGTGTTAAAATAATTTGGCATAGAATGTTTTCGTCATTCTTTTATCCTGAAATTCTCAGATCACTGAGATTTGGTTCACATAACGAATCATGCATATTTTACATTTTAATTTTCTTTGCTCTGACATTCTTTTTTTGGAGGTCAGAGAAAAAATTTGTTACTTTTGGTTGAAAGACAAGGTAATGGTTGTCTGGAATCGGCCATATTTTTCATTCTTTCATATTTTTTTTAAAAATAGCTTTCTTCTGAGAGGTGACACAGATCACGTACTTCTAAGCCATTAGACCTCAGATTCTGTGTTAAACTAAAAGAATATGTTATCAGATCTCAATGTGATCAACAAGACATGATATGAATTATGTGTGTGTTCAGATGGACAACTACTAGAAACATGAACCCACTCCTTAGATGAACAATGTTAGAACTTTTCAGTACTAGCCAATGCTGGGCAGTAGCACACCATTCCATGACAGAGCCAGGTCTACCAACTTCCTTTCATACTAACAAGATCTAGGCTATTCATTCCAAGGAAATGCCTTCGGAGGCAGTGCTTTAAAAACCTCAGGGTTTTGTGGAATTCTGTCTCAGGGAACTAGGAAAATGTATCCCCAGATTGGTGCTACCACTGTTATTTAAAATTTACCCGAATAAGGAAGATTCTGAAAGTTCCATTCACACACGTGCTTGGATTAAATATTCATGATTTTCCTCTACTGCAGATCTTCAGGTAGTGACTAAAAATTCCTGATTAAACATGTGTATTTCATTCACAAGCTTTTTGTTGCTCAGGGTCTCTATGTCTCTCCATTTTAAGAGGCACATTTAACATTCTAAGAGTTCAAGCCTGCTGAAGTTAGCAAACAATCTGAAATGCAAAAGTTATATAAAAATGTGTAAATGTTCATCTTACCTCCGGTGGTTTGAGCGTCCCTTGTTCTGAAACAAACGTAAAAGTTGGCATCGTCAGAGTAAAGCTCTTTTGTTTGGTTAGCAACCTTAGCCTGTTCTCTGCAGCACAGTAACACACGGCTGCTGAGCTGTCCAAACTACTACCTGTAATAGAGTTCCAGGGTCCCTCAGGCTGGCCTAGGGATTGTTTTGCAACACAGGTTCTCGTGCCTTATTGGCTTGTCAGGAAAGTGACTCATAGTTCTAAATGACTTCTAGGTTAGGCTTAACTTTTTCAATTGTTTATTAAGCAATGTCAATCCAACCACATAAAGCTCCTTAAAACAGTGGCTTGCACTAAATTTATGTGCATAAAAGAAAGCTAGGTGGGAACCTTTCTTTCAACATACCTGGTTTTCAGAATCTAAAAAAGTCACAAAAATATTACATTGATGATTTATAACAATTGCAAGTTTAATACAGTACAATATTGCATATAATTTTTTCATTGGTGACTATGCATCTTATTTTTAATTCAGGGGGAAATACATTTTTATTTAAAGATAGAAACTAAAGACTGATGGGATTTGACTCCAATATTAATTTTCCCTTCACCCTTAGTTCACCTATCTATAAACAGAAACAATAATTTCCATTACATTTCAGTTCCTGATAATGACTAACAGTTATAACGGGTCCCTGGGGTCTTCAGGTGAGTAACGTGGCAAAGCGGGGCTCTGCACTCAGAGGCACACATAGCACATGGAAGAACGGGTGGATGATATTTTGCTTCCTTTCCCCACACCCAGGAGCACCTGTACATGTTACAACTCCTCTAGACAGTGGAGGAAAACACCTCATCATTTCGAGCCCACGCCTATACTTTTCCCATCCAAAATGATCCTCTAAAGGAGGAACTGAGAAGAGAAAAAGAAACAGAGGCGGAAATCAGGAGGGAGAGGGCAGGCCTAAATGTAAGCTCTGTCGACCTAAATGAACCTCTTACAGAGTTTCCAAGAAGCCTCATGAGCCAGAGTTCAAGGGGAAAATGTCTGTCAGGACTCCTGACTGGCTGCCACAGGTTGCTTTACACAGGGAGACTGCCTGGGGCATGGAACAGGAGGTTTTGTTGTTTTGTTTTTAAGGACTGCTCCTGCTTAATGGAAGTGGGCAAAAAGTCACCTTTCTGGAGAAGAGCTAAGTCTGCCTTCCTTTGTCGACTTCAAACCCATCACCCTAGCTTCCATAGATGCCTGCTATGAAGGCATCTTTGTCCAAACTGTAGCTGGCCTTTCCAAAGTATAACTAGACAGAAAGCTTTTTCATTGATTCCTCCCCTCTAGAAATATGCAATTGTTTCAGAAGAAAGACGGCCTAAGAGAACTGGTTTGGGGAGAGAGTCCATAAAAGTACCATTTGGCTGAATACTGTGCCCAGACTTAGAACACAACTTAGGTGAACTTGGCTCCTAACAGAGCAGTTATAATACCTGTTTCACTGGTTGGACCAAAAAGATCTATGTGCCAGAATAGCCCTAAACTACTTTCTTCTCCAACTAGTGAGCTCGAGAAAGAGCCTGAACTGGGTATCATACACTGCAGCGAGCACCAAACAGGAGGGGAGTCTAAATTAGCCATCCAAGGACACTGAGGAAAGTCTTGCTATTTCCAGGTGACCTTTAAAATGGAAAAACCTCAGATCTTTTGGGTTCAGCGTTCATAAATGAATATGTACCTTAATTTCAATTCAAAAGTATTTTTTTTTTTTTTGCTCCTGCATGGACGTGTTTTTATGCCTTTGGGAAGTAGGTCTTTTAAAACATGCTTTAAATGTTTATTTTGTTTGTTTGTTTTGCATGAAAGCTATGATAGCCCATGTGGCAGTAGATGTCACACCTGCTCCATGAGGGTCATCTGGGTGCTCCTCAGGAGGACGAAATAAAAAGTGGTCATGCCTATGCAGACACTTGCCCCTCTTTATCCAGAAAACACATCCAGGTCCAGAAGACCCTCGTTTACAGCTCTTCAGATCTTGTTGCATAGGGTTCCAGTGCAAGCTGGCCAGCTGCCTGCATGCAGGAGAGCATCTATCACAGAAGTCAAGAGGGTGTGAGGACCAGGCAAGGCGTGAATGGGGCTGGCACAAGGTAAGGAACGAACGAGACTTGGCTGACCACCTCCCTCAAAGCTCCCTCCGTTTTCCCTGCTTCTTGCCTGTCTCCTGCTTTCTTTCTTTGGTGTCTCATCAAGCAAATCAGCTTTCTTCATAAGTCTGATTGGATGTGCTACAAACTGCTCTACCCAAAGCCTCCTCTGTGTGATCCAAACAGGAAAAATGGAAGAGGGGCTTTGGAGTGGATGTAACTCCAACTCCAAGGGCGCGAGTCCTTACTGGGGCTTACCCTTTCTTTGCCACCACTCCCTGTCCTTTTAGCCGCCATGTCTGCCCTCCCCTGGCACTCAGCCACCCAGGAAAGAGGTGCATTTCTTCCATGGAGTTGGCCTAAGGCCATTCACACTCTGACTGGCTCATGCTGGGTAGAGCTCAGAAGTAATGGCTCTTGAAAGTCAGAGTTTTTGTTTCATCATATTTCACGGTCAGGTTCTGTAAATGTTCTGATAGGGCAAAAGCCAATGGACTGGAAATAACTCCTAGAATCTGTTCTGAGTTCAGAAATTCTTAGCCAGGCTTCTCTTCTTATACTTTCGCGGTTGCTCTAGTGATCACACCCTTGAGCTAACTTCTTCACAGACATAATCGAAATTCTGATAACCATATCAACGCAATGGCTGTTAACCTATGTTAAAATAACAGGGATGCGAAAGAGGAAAACCCAACTGCAATGCTATTTCATACATTGTCAAAGTAAAAGTTCATTCAGGCTGGGAAAATAGAATAAGAATCTCTTTCGATAAAGTATGCCGTGGTAAAGTTGCTCTAATTTNGGAAATGTCTAGAACATATTTAAACCTGCTCCCCTCCCCCATGAATATTCTCAAAAGCCTGGGACAGAGTTGGACAAGACTTTGTCCATCAGCAAAGAGAGGAGGGCACACCTAGAGGCCATCCCTGGGAGCTCTCCGTCACGTGCCCACGAGATCAGGAGAATCAGGCTGCAGAAGCTTCTTGATCTCTTTGATCTGCTGGGGCAGGGCGGGGCGGGGGGTGGGCAGGAGGAACCAACCAAACAACCTAATTTTATTTCTTGATTCATTACCTATGACCATGTCTTTACCTAAAAGTAATACCTTTATCGTCCAAGACTCTCTCTTCTTGCCTCTTTTGGGAGAAACCTAATTCTCTCTGTTGATTTTACCAACAAACCAAGCAAAGGTTCGTTTGCATATGGAACAGGCTCTGGTTCCTCTATCTTTTTCAAAGGTAGAGAAACCTATGTTAGGGAATACATTTAAAGTAGGTGTGTTTTAACTAGGTGTGGAATGATAGCCTTGCTTCCTGGAGCTAGAGGTGGCCTCTGAAGGTCCACTCCAGTGGGTGTGGTCAAGGAGACCCCATGGGTCCTGTGGCCATTGAAAGCTGACCTACCTTGAGAATGAGGTATAAAATAAAAAATAAAAAATTCACAATCATGGTTACTGACAGGGGAGCACAACAGGACTACAAACTGGTACATGGAGGAAAAGAAGATCTTTAAGAGAGGGGGTAAAAAGTAAAAATCACAGAGCTTACAAAAGGGCTTCGATTACTTCTGGGAAGACTTCTGAACATCATAAAGCATCTGCCTGAGTGAGTGAAAGCACTTCCACACATCTTGGTGGGGAGTATGGAGTGTGTTGGTGGGGAGTGAATGGTGGTTCTTAATGTCCATTTGCTACACTTCTTCCTTAAATCAAGCTAAACTTTCCAGATAAATTGGCCAGTATAAGAGCTTACTATAATTATCCACCCAAAGTAGAGATTATTAGCAGAATCACACATTAAATAAAAGTACACTTATTATATTCAAAAGTTAAGCAAGCCATTAAAACACTGATGCTACATTTTTTTTAAAAATCAACGTGAAAATTAAGTCCTTTCGTAATAGACTTACATGTAATTTTTAAGAGTATAAAAGTGCCTGGAGAGAATTATTTAGTATCCTGCGAAAATTATTAACCACTTCTTAATAGCACACTTTCTTTCTGTAAATACAACCCACTTCACATTACTTAAATATAATCAAGTGAAATCATCTCCNAAAAACTTAGTGTCACAGCTCTGCATCGGGACTAAGATATTAAGGGCTGATGATCATCAAATCTACTTTGGCTGAATTCTCACCAACTAGAAAGGTTGCTGGTTGAGATCTGAAGAAAAAGTGTCTCTCTCAGTCTTTTTCTCCTGGGAAGTGCCTTAGGATAGTAATTTAATTCTTCAAGTTTCCAAAAGTTTTTAATCCTCAACTTGTCTTCACCCTGCCACTTATTTCTCAGGCCCCTATTGATCCAACTATAAAATGTTCTTACCCTTTCAAGAACCTTTCTAGATGGTGACTCACAGGCCCTCAAGGGGTTTATACCTTGTGTTCTTTCTTCATGTCCCAACTGGTTTAATGTGCCTCAGAGACCTAGTGTGACTGAGGAGCTCAGAGAGCTACCTTCAATGTCAGCACAGGGTTCAATGTGCATGTTTGTGTAACAGAAGTGATTTCCACTGAGGCTTTAGACTCATATAATTCATTTGTTTAAACAAAAACTCCAGTCCCATTATATTTGTTTTTTTCCAATACAAGTGGCTCTCAGAGCATACATTACTACACAATTTGCTTTGTCTCTTATCTGAAGTTCTATTTCTTAAGACTAAACAAATCAATCTCCGGTAAGACCGTTTGTCTCAAAGAAGGCCACCGAAAAGGCATTACTAGTAGAGTGTCTTGTCTTCATGGCTAACATGCTTGCTTGTGAACCATTAAAACTGAAAGACAGTTGAACTGATCCAGTTTTGGAAGTTGCACAAATGCTATGTTCACTATTCAGATCTACAGCAATATTTTGAAGTGGGAAAAAAAAGTGTAAATAATACTTGGAAAAAGGCTTTGGTTTCTTTTC